TTCTTTCTTTCTTTCTTTCTTTCTTTCTTTCTTTCTTTCTTTCTTTCTTTCTTTCTTTCTTTCTTTCTTTCTTTCTTTCTTTCTTTCTCAAGAATCATTATAACCAGATTAAGAAGTTGCCCTTTAAATGGGATTTTAAACAGAGGCTTAAACTACATCAAACTGTGCTTCCGTCCCAAGTGGAATTCCTCGGGACGGAAGGAATGGGTGGGTGGGGCCTGTCCTCCCCTCCGACCTCTCCTGCCAGCCCTTTCCGGGGGCCAAAAAGCCTCCAAGCTCAGTTAGTCCGCAGGACAGGACCAGCAGCAGGGGCAGCAAAGGCAGCATCCAGGCCCAAGGCGGCTTGAATCCGGGCATGTACCTGCCTGGGCGAGAGCCTGTCCCGATGGCTGAAGTGGGTGGCCCAACTGTCCCGCTCTCTGGGCGCCTTCGATCCCCTCTGCAGGCGGCTGGGCTTAAGTGGCACCACCAACCAAGCTCTCTTTGGACATCCGTCAGAGCCGAGGCTGATCTGCCACCCAGAAGAACCCATCTCTCTTCCCCTTCAGTGCCTCAGCCTTTCCCTGGCGTGGAGACCAGGCGAGGCGGCGTCTGGGTTGCACCCAGAGCAGGGAGGAGGCTGCTTCGCCACCCGGTGCTCTTCATGCACCTGCCGCTTCAGGACACGCTCCTGAGCATGGGTGACGCCGGTGGAGGTGGATGGTGTTAGGTGACCCCTGTGAAAGGGTCATTCGACCCCCAAAGGGGTCGCTACCCACAGGTTGTGAACCACTGCTCTAGAGGCCCAAATTTACTCTAGGATGGATAGTTGCAACACTTTGTTAAAGAATAGTTACAAAATGCAATTTTAAAAAGGGCTACTATTAGGTATATATAATATATATATATTATATATATTTTTAAATTATATATATTTCCTATTAAAATAACCGGATTATTTTAAAACTTTATTAAAACTGTGGTTTGATACTTCAGCCCTGAAAATTAGAAAAGAATATCTTTTTGTACATATAGCATGTACAAAACTGTGTGTAATTATGTTTTCCTTATTTTATTTCCTATGCTAACAGAGACATAGCCTTGTAAGTATTAAATCATATTTAATTAGCAGTATCATACTGCTTGATAAGGAATTTAGCTAGAATATTGTAATTGATTTTATATACTGTAACATTCTGTAATGCACAGTTCATTCAAGGCTTCCAGTTAGATTTATGCTATGAAAATTGTAAAATTGTCCTGGTAATAATAAATTAATAATGAGACAGCAATAAAATCCTAGTATAATATTTTAACAACATTTTCAAACCTGGAATTTAATTAGCCTCATACATAAGAACAGAATTTGATTGACAGATAGTCCTTGACTTACAATCACAATTGGGACCACAATTTCGATCATAATCCATAAAGGTCATAAATCAGGCACCCATGTGCGAGTCATTAAGTGAATGAAGGCATAAGTCAAAATACATTCCAGAAACCAGCAAAAAACACTGAAAATCAGCAAAAAATGTTGCACATCAGGATCAAATGTCTGTGGGACACTACAACCAGTTTTAAGTGTAAGCTGGTTGGCAAGCCTGAAATCGGATCATGGGATTGTGGAAAGGATGTGATATTTTACAATAGCCAGAAGTGTTTTAGGAGCTGCAAAGAAGCCAACCATTTTCTTGATAATATCAGTGTTCTACCATGATGAATTACGTTCCCAGTCATAGATCTATAAAAAATGGAATGTAACATCTATGTAAAAGCACTGACCTGTAGCCATCCTGATGTTTCTTTAAGCTCAATATGATTTGAACAATGAATTCTGCCATTCTTTTTACCTTAGAGCTGAACACTTGTTCCTTATAAATTTAAGTCTAAAAAAATAAAACATCCCAGGTCTTTGCCAAGTCAAAACTAGGATGGGGCTTGTTTACAAGCTGCATTTCCAAGACAGCTTTTGGAGTGGTTATGACAGGCACCTAACCTTAGGCAAAATGGTTCCAGTAATCAATATTGATTTTTAATTGGCCATTCAGTAATTCATATCTCATACCAAGGGAGTGAATTTATATATCAATTTCATATAAGCTGCTGTTATGATTGTTTTATTTTTCCATGCTTTTAGTTTCATATTTGTTAAGTGCACATTTTTTTACAATAAGTTCAGAATTCAGAGCACCATACAGAGGCTGTTTGAAACCATTTTTATATAGAATTATAGAACAGCGATGGCGAATCTTTTTTGGCTCGCGTGCCATAAGCAGGGGGGAGTGCAGGGGGGGATCGTGCGTGGGCATGCTACACCCATAATGCAATGTGTGACACCCCTCCCATTACGCATGCGCGCATGACAGGCGCTCCCCACCATTTTTTGCATGCTTTTTTGCCCTCCCCAGGCTCCAGAGGCTTTATAGGAGCCTGGGGAGGGCAAAAACAGACCCCTCCTCCCCGAGGTCTTCAGGAACGTCTCTGAAGCCTCCAGAGCGCAAAAAAAAACAACCAAAAAACCCAGCCCTATGGGCAAACTGGAAGTTTGGGAATGGACTTCCGGTTTGCTCGTAGGGCCAGTTTAAACCCTCAGGAGCTTTCAGAGGCTTTCAGGAGGTTTCCCTGAAAGCTCCAGAGGACGGAAAATGACCCTATGAGCAAACCAGAAGTCACTTCCAGTTTGCTCGTAGGGCCGTTTTTTCGCGGACTGGAGGCTTCAGGGAAGCTCCTGAAGCCTCCAGGCGGCTTCTGTTTTTGCCCTCCCCAGCGTCCTATAAAGCCTCTGGAGCCTGGGGAGGGTGAAAAATGGCTTTTAAAAAGGCTGAACTCAGTTGGCCAATGTGCGCATGCATGCCGGGCAGCTGACAGGGCAATGCCTCGCGTGCCCTGACAAATGGCTCCGCGTGCCACAGGTTTGCCATCCCGGATATAGAATAAATTGGCTTTCAGTATAGAGTGACAGCTGTTTTTTTTTTAAATCATCCATATTTGTATTTATTATTTTTATTACTTAGAAATAATCTTTGCCAGCTTCACTAACTCAGTTAAGAAAAAAAATGGATGACTTATGGATGGTTGTATTGCATAAAACAATTGTGAGGTAATGATGCCATCTGATGCTTCAAATTTAAGATCCTAAACATTTATCTTATATATTTTATTTATATTAGCTAAAGCTAATATTTGAGATTGCCATTGGAATATTTCCTATCTTTAACTTTTCCCTTAATTTACAAAGAAAATAATATGTATATACTAAAATTTGTTTTTTTCAATTACTTTACATTTAGGCTCAAATGAACCGGAATGCATCTAGTAAGTTTGTCTGGTGACTATCAGTGACTTTTTTCTTACGTTTATATCAGTTTGAATGCCCTTTTTTATGAAAACAGATTTGTCTAAACTATGTTTTTGTATGTAGGCAAATGTATGTATAATGTGAGTGCAGGATAATTGAGTTTCCTTCTTTTATTGAGAGTACACAAAGCAGGTTTTTCCCCAACATAACTAACTTTAAATTAAAAGGATATATATTTTGCCACTTACTCAAAATATACTTATAGGCAGCCCTAGAGTTATGACAGTTCAGTTAGCAACAGTTAAACGTTACAACCCCTCCCCCAAAGTACTTACATCCTGGTCCCGAAGTTACATATTTTGCAGCACCCTGATGGTTGTTCGCTCTTATGACTGAAGGCATAGACACTGCAACATGCCCCCTGCAAATTTCCACCCTTCCTGCCAGCTGTGTCCCCACAAGCACTAGGCTTGTTTTGCTAGCCATGGGTTTCTACGTGCTCCTCCCCACCGCATCACGGATTGCTGACTTATCTTTCAAAGATCTCTGGAATTCAAGATGTCAAGGTAGGAAAGATAGAAGAACAGGCTGGACCACGTGGCAGAAAAGCAGCCATCTTTTTCTCAGATGCTGGCGAACCTATTTTTCTTTCATCATTAGATGCTAGCCTTCCCACTATTAGCTTCCCTAGTCTTACATTAGCAGAGTTAATTGTGGGGGAGGGAGAGAATACAGTCAACAGCAAACTGCTCCTTCCTACAGGATTGTATGAGCACGTCCTTGCACATGCTCCCCCTCTTTGCAAAACTGCTGCTTTTGCAGAGAAGGGAAAAATGCACAAGAACATGTTCTTGCACTAGGCCCCAGTGGTCTTTCCTGTCCTGAGGTATCCCATGCAGGCTTAACAACTCACGCTTTCAATTAACAAATGAATTGGGGAGAGCAAGGGTGGGTTCATTTAATATGATTCACTTAACATTACAATCATAATGGGCAGGCTCTATTATGGTTGTAACTTGACTACCTGTATATACTGTACCTTAAATACAATGTTTATTAATGAAGTGGCACTGTCCTATTAGGTTACATAAAGGATACTGTGGAAGATTCTGACACTAGAATATGTATCACACAATAAATATTTAAATCTATATCAAATTGAAAAAGAGAGTACTTCAAATTATGATGAATTATGGCACTTTAAATGTGCAGAAAACACGAGCAATCACCCCAGCTGAGCCCCACTGCACATCCATATGCACCTCCCGCCAGCCAGCTGATTTTCAAGTCTCTGCCGCGCATGCGGGAAACACGTGTTCATGCGTGGAGAGGTGCGGAGGAATGGCGCACCGTCCCGTGACCGTTTTTGGTCCCAGGAGGCTTCAGGGAGCCTGCTAGGCCCAAAATGGGGCACGGGGGGTGGGGTTGCACGTCCATTACCCACATGTAATGGGTAGATTATAAATTATTACATCTAACATTGTAATCAAACGATATCAGATCTGGAGAAGAAAAAAACAAATTCTTTAAATTTGGGGCCTGCCTTTCGACAGGACAGTTAGATGGTCTTATAGTGAGAGAGGATACAATATTGCTAGCAGGGATTTGGTGGTGTCCTGCTTGTTTTTAGAATATCCCCCATGTGAGAATTTGTATTAGATAGGAAACATATCACAGCAAAATATGACAAAACCAAATAATTTAAATTGTAGTATATATCTGTTTTTCTTGAACATTTGAGTGAATTTTTGTTTCCACTTTTATCAATTGATATTGTGCTTTTTATAAACCCCGGGCTGATTTTGTTAATATACTATCATATATTATAATATATAATATTTTAATATATTAAATATATATTATTGTTAAGTATATTTTTAACAAGTGTATCTTTTTAAATAGGTGAAGAGTTAACAAAAGCAAAGTTTTCTGCTTCATCTAATGAGTAAGTTTCATATTTGATATTCATGTTTATTTGAAAGGCATGGAATATTATTTGCAGCATTCACAGCTTGAATTAACATTACCATTTAGACATTAGAAAACATGTTTTTGATTTTTTCATTTTTAAAATTCAATCTTTCATTCTGTTTTGTTGTTAATTTGTGCTCAGATTAGAATAAATATATGTGTACTGCTTTGGTTTAATTGTTAAAAAGCATTTATAACCTGAATTTAGCAATTTTACATTTTTTTTAACCTTTGCTTATCATTTTCATACTGAAATACAGGAACCTACAATACCAGCAGAATAATAATAATAATAATTATTATACAATGAAAAATAACCAGCTGTGTTACAGTGATTAATCATTCCACTATGTAAAATATAAGCTTAACACTGTTTAAAAAAATCTTTTTGCTTTTGTAAGGCAGCAAACTTTTATTATAAACAATTACAAGGATTGTTTTCCAATACAGTTACATCATACAGAGCCCTGTGACAGCAATTCAATCATACATATGGTTCTTTATGTATGTCTGTAAAAGTAGTCCTTGACTCATGATCACAATTGAGCCCAAAATTTTCATTGCTAATCAATTGTTAAGTGAGTCAGGCCTCATTTTATGACCTTTTTGCCATGGTTGTTAAGTGAATCGTGCAGATGTTAAAAGAACCTGGCTCCTCCATTGACTTGTCAGAAGCTCCCTAAGAAGATTGCAAATGACAATCTCATGACCCCAGTACACTGTAACCATTGTAAATAGATCCCAGTTGCCAAGCACCAGAACTTTGGTCACATGACTGTAGAGATACTACAGTGGACATAAGTGTGAAAACTGGGTTGTAAATAACTTTTTTTAGTGCCACCGTAACTTTGAATGCTCATTAAATGGATTTTTATAAGTCGAGGACCAGTTGCACTTGGCTTTTTATAGAAATGAATTTTGGTGGCATTGCACCCCTGGTTTCATTGTCTAGGGAAGTGTGGTTTTATCTTTTCTACTCAGTTTCCTTAAGTCCTTAGCATAGTACCGTGATAGCGAATCTATGGCATGCATGCCACAGGTGGCACACGGAGTCCTCTGTGGGTACGCGAGCCGTCAACCCAGCTCGGCTCCACTGAGCATGCATGTGCACCTCCCGCCAGCCAGCGATTTTTGGGTCTCTGCCGTGCATGCGGCAAATGCACAGGGGTCACACAAGGGGGGGCAATACGGGAGGGTGTGGTCCCCCGTGCCCCATTTTGGTTCCAGGAGGCTTCATAGAGGCCTGCTAGGCCCAAAACAGCGTGCGGGGTATTTGGTGTGCTCCTTATGCCCCTTTTTTTTGGTCCCAGGAGGCTTCAGGGAGGCCTGCTAGGCCCAAAACAGCGGCAGGGGTGTTTCCCCCGCAGCCCGTTTTTGGTCCCGGGAGGCCTGGTAGGCCCAAAACAGACCATGGGGAGAGGGTCGCATGCAAATGTACAGGGAGGCATGGGAGCGTGGGGGGACACATGCGCAGGGGTACGGTGTGCACACAGGTGTTGTGTGTGCATTGGATTATGGGTGTGGGCATGTGCACTGTTGGCATGCGTATGCGCTTTCGGCATGTGAGGACAAAAAGGTTAGTCATCACTGGCATAGTATCTCTAATTATGTTTGCATGTTGAACGAATGAAAAAGAGAAACAAATCCTTTTTATGTCATAATTACTTCCAAATGTCTAGAGCTTTTTTGCATTTTTCTCTATTCTATTATGTCATGTGCTTGAGGGCATTTTATTGGCTTTTTTTTTTACAGCCAGTAGCTCTGAAAGTAGGTCCTTTCTAAAATTTGTTTGAGAATACAAATTTCCATAGCAGGATTGATAGCTTATTGTATATTTGGGAGAAAGAACTCATTCTGGCATTGCTTTACTAAGCAGCTGATTGGAAAAGAATTCTTCCCTTGAAAATAGAACTATTTGCAACAGATCAAGGTCATTCAAAGTTTTACATGTTTCTTGTTCTTTTTGGACATAGTTGATTCTGCCTCATCTCCTGCATGACAAAATCACATTTAGAATCCAGAATAATGACTTATCTTGATCTTAGCACTATGCTTCTGTTGATTCATCCTAAACTTTGTTTTCTTTTTGTATCTTTGTCACATCAATGGTTCATGTTCCATTTATGTTCTACCACAAAGCCTTTTTTTACATGTACTGCTTCCCATATTTCTATACTTGTGTCTTTGACTTTTGTAAACTTTTTTCAATGAAGGACTTTGCATTTGACTCCTTGACTCTAAATCCATTCTGTTAGTTATTGCCCACTGTTCCAACATGCTGAGATTTTCTTGAAAACTGATAGTTTAAAATGTTTGTTGTCCATCTATCGTGAGCATGCAACCTTCATCTAAGCCTTTTGAAAATATGTTGAACAGTATATGACCTAGAACTAAGACCAACACTCCTAACCAGTCTTTTCTAAATAAATATATATACTTAATCCACCCTGCCAAAGCTTTGCCTGTTATCCGTGTTTTCCTGATCAGTCCATAGTTGCAGTTCCTCTTTTGTTCCCTTCTGCCTCCCCCTCATTTTTTTAAAGACACAATTTGTCCTTCTCCATTCCTTTGGCACAATGCCTGCCTTCTGTGATCCTTCAATAATAGAAACAACAAAAAAGGCTCATTTACCTCTGTCAGAAAGAGATGACATCTCAACCTCTTTAAACATACTTAGATGTAACGGGTCTTAAATTTGTTCATGGTAGCCAGGTAGCTTATTACCTGGCTAACTTAAAATTGTTCATGGTAGCCAGGTAGCTTATTTTCTCTTTACTTACTTACTTACTCCTTGTGTCAGTTGTTCTGCTTAGATCCATTTGAACTCAGTTCTCTGCGAAGAAGACTGAAGCAAAGTAGTAACTGAGGAACCCTACTTTCTCCCTGTTCCTTTGCTGTCCTACCATATTCTCCAAGCATCAGGCCCAACCTTTCCTGTTTCTTCTTACTTCTATGGACAGAGGTAAATGAGCCTTTTTTGTTGCTTTTATCTTCTCTGCAAGCCCAAATTCCCAAAATTCTTTTGGGCATTCTACTTATATTAGTTACATGCTGGTATACTTCTTGATGATTGCAATCATTCGTCTTTCATTTCCTATACACGACCCACTTAACTCTTAACTGAATTAAAAATTTAAAATCTAAGCACCCACAATGATTTCTTAAATTTTTCTTCTCATTGGAATGATGTGCTTCCATATCTTATTTTAAGAGCAGGCATGTCCAGCCCATGGGCCAAGTGTGGCCTTGGACAGCTAGTAATGTGGCCCCACAGAATCATAAACCTTTAACCTTATTCCATGATTTATATATATTAACTATATTATGTATTTTGTATGCAGCTGAAAACAATTTCTCTTCGCTCAGTGCGGCCCAGGTAAGCCAATGCTCTGTGTTTTAGAGCATTTCCTAGTCCTTTGGATTCCCTTATATTGAGGATTTCTGTAGCTGAGAATCTTCCTAGTAATTTATTGAAATTGATTCTCCTGAAATCTGGTGTAGAGTAAAATTATGTCCCAGTTGTTCTTCCTATAGTATCTAATTTCATGTTTATATCATTACTTCTTCCGAAATTTTGCATTAATTCTATTTCTTCAAATGGTTTTTCTCTATAATTAGGATCATATTTTTTAAATTAAATTTAAAGATCTATCTTGAATTCAAGGCAGCTGTAGAAGTAAAAAATCCAGTCAGTAAGTATTCAAGAAACAACAGCAATAATCATTCAGCAAATTTCCTCTTCCTTGGCTCTTCCTCTCTTTGTTCACTTAGTCAGCCTAATGGTTTCACTCTGGAAATAGATGTGTGATTCATAATAGTTCTCAAATATATTCTCATTTATATTCTCAAAATAAATGCTAAATCAGAAAGATTCAGAAACTTTTACAAGTAGTCCTCAGTTAACAATGGTAGTTGGGATGGGAAATTCCATCACTAAGTGACATGGTCCTAAAGTATGATGTCACATAGCCACACTGATTTACAAAGCAGTTGTGGTTGTTAAGCAAATCCCACAGTCATTAGGTGTGATGTCTTGTGATTGTAAAAGGGACACGGTGGCGCAGTGGCTAGGACACTGAGCTTGTTGATCAGAAAGGTTGGCAGTTCAGCAGTTCGAAATCCTAGTGCCGTGTAACGGAGTGAGCTCCCATTACTTGTCCCAGCTTCTGCCAACCTAGCATTTGAAAACATGTAAAAATGCAAGTAGAAAAATAGGAACAACCTTTGGTGGGAAGGTAGCAGCATTCCGTGCGCCTTCGGCATTTAGTCATGCCAGCCACATTACCACAGAGACTTCTTCGGACAGCACTGGCTCTTTCAGCTTTGAAACGGAGATGAGCACCACCTCCTAGAGTCGGGAACAAATAGCACATATGTGTGTGGGGGAGTGACCTTGTGATTGCCATTTGAGGACTCCTGCCAGCCTCCCCCATTGACTGCATGTGTGAAGTTTCATTGGAAGGAAAAATGTACTTGTGGAACATCAGCCACTGGTTGGATGTATCCTTTTTGCCTGCTAATTGTATTCTGCAGAAAGGGTTGCTTCTTTATATTTTTGTTTAAAAACTAAAAATACTGGGGCACCCAGGAAAAAACTGTCTTACTTTTTTTTGGAGGGAATGAATCTGCATATCACTAGTAAAATCGCACTCTTTATATATCCAAGGCCATTTTGAAGAGGACAGAATGTTTAGATCAGATTTGGGTTATCTGTAGCTGTGAAGATTTACTATGAACATGTCCTATTTTCTGGGCATTTGCTTGTATATTTATACTTGTTTTACATATTTAATATGGTCAAATGTCTAAGGTGTGTGTAAGTATGTGTATATAATTTTGATTTTTTTTTAAACCCTATTTTTTTTCATGCTTTATGTTAAATAGGGATCTGGCCTGAACAGTCAAGATTTTTATTCCTGCAAAGCTCAATATATGAGAAGGACCATCCTTTGATTCACAATCTACAATAATAATAGGCAGATTATGGCCACAATTAACATCTTCAGAGTAGAAATAGTGAATTGTCTTGTCTCTGATGCAATCCCAGTTAGTGGCTGTTCCAGTTAGAGAACTGAACCAATAAAAATCTCTTAAGGTTCCTAATCTTACATTTATGTTTTCTAGAAGGAAGTCCAGAGGTAAAAATTAATTATAGTTAACAAATCTATTTTCATTTATTGATGCTTATCTTCCAAGAGGTACCATAATCTGTGAATCCTACAGGGCAGATCAGATAAAGAAACAGAAGCTGCATAGACCTAAAACCAATGCTTTATGTGAATTGCATTTAATTAAAATTTAAAGTATTTTACTGATTTTGTTTTTACATAGTAAGTTGTTTAAGATTCTTAGCGATTCAGTAAATTATTTAAGTGTATTTTGAATTTGCTTAAAAGTTATAATTTTATAATGTTCAATTTTATTTTTATTCTAATTGGCTTAAAACTGTACTCAATTGTACTTACCATAATAATATTAGCCAGCTAACTAAGAGTACATTTCTATACACCAACTTAATGAATTTGTGTACTGTCAACTATATAATTAAATGTAATAAGATGACCCAGGGTGGAATGGACACTTTTGCATTACCCTTTTGCTTTCAAGTACCAACCCTGATCAATATACCACAATATCAGGTTCTGTGCAGTAGTATTCAAAATTTGTCTGATAAATTATTTGTACTTGAGCATCTACAAACTAAATTTAATGAGCATTTAGTTCTGCTACATTACAGTGCCTTATAAGTTGATAGCTTATATTCCACAAATTATTCATGCTTCCCTACATCCATCTAAAGCTTCTACCCCCTTTTTTAGATTCTTGTTTTAAATTTTAAATCAAGGTATCTTTTGTTTATTTTTATTTTATTTTACTCTTGATGTGTCTTTTGATTCTATATGCTTTTTAATTACTATACCCCACCCTCTTTATGCTGGCCCATAACTGTGATAACATATTGATTGGTTGGTTGGTTGGTTGGTTGATTGCGTGACCCGTCAAAACCGCGGACGACAAAATCGCGCTCGACGAAAGCGCGCATTTGACGTCATCACAGCGCGACGGAAAAAATTAAAAATTGAAATAAAAATAAAATTAAAGCAGTTAGGTTAAGGGTTAGGTTTAGGGTTAGGTTTAGGGTTAGGTTTGGGGGGTTAGGGTAAGGTTTTCGCTTTATTTTTACATTTATCGATCACAGTGCGATGTTTTCGTCGCGCTGTGATGACGTCAAATGCGCGCTTTCGTCGAGCGCGATTTTGTCGTCCGCGGTTTTGTGGTGGAACCGTTTGATTGTAGTAAGATTCATTTTATACATATGTATAATTTGAATTTATTTTTCTAATATTAGGAAAAGCAACAATGACCTCTTGGCATGGGATCCACTCTTTAGAAATTCTGGTGATTCATCTTCCCTGACCTCAACAATGTCATCTTCTTCATCTGGTAACATTTTACTCAATGAAAAATTGAAATTATATTTTTAAATAAACAATTATACTCAATGTGTGCTATGTAAAGGTATCATAAAATATACTATTACAGTCATTCAAAACTGTACTTTTTAATGATAGCACAGTAATCTAAGATAAATCTAGGAATCTTTTTATACTTTCTATAACTTCTGAAAATGCTATTCCATTTTGTCAAAGCTGCCTTTTGATACAAACTCTTGCACATGCCATAATGCAAGGGTATCAAACTCACATTGTCACGTGATTATCATGACTTTTTTCCCCTTCGCTAAATGGGGCATGGGTGAGGCCAACACGTGACGCATCTTGCCCGTGGGCCACAAGTTTGACAGCCCGGCCATAATGCTATCAAGCACTATTTCAGATGCACAGTCAACTTCGTGAATTGTTATTTATTAGGCATATGGCATACATTGTCAGTGATGGAATGGAACAACTTGGTGTTGCCAGCTGGAGGGGAGAGCCAAGTTGGTGGGTGAGTGAGTGGGTAGATAGAACGCAGAGCAGCAGCTGTGGGCTTCCTCTTTTCACACTACCCACTGCTGCCGCTGTGCTGAGTTATGAGCCATTCAGTGGTGGGCAGGGCAGATGGCAGGGAAGCAATGGTGAGCAAGCGTGTCCCATTTTCACACCCACTGCTAAACAGCCCAAACACCAAACTGCCCAAACACTACCATCACTGTTGGATATCCCGCAGCAGTGGCAGGGAGTATGAAAATGGAACATGCCCAGCCTCTCTGCCACCCACCCTGCCCACTACACTGCCAAATGGTCCAAAAACTGCTGCCACCACCGAACAGCCTGGTGTGAAAATGGGAAGTCCCTGGCCACCATCATCCTGCTGGTCCTGCTGAGTTGTCGTAGATCTGTCAGAGAAATCTACATGCTTGACACAATGCAGTTCTGACAGCCTAAATTGCTAGTTCTTTATGTATGGCACTTCTATGCCTATCTTTGGTGCATCGCAGGGATGAACTAGCTTACACCAGCTGACATTCAGGCTTCTGTCTTCCAAGCTTCTCTGCCAGTGGCACCTCACCTCTAGTTGTGTTGCCTCGCAATCTGGCCAAGTCCCATGCCTCCTCCTCTTTCACACAAACAAACGCAGCTAGGTTTTCCCCACCAAAGTGGTACCCATGTATCTACTCACAATATTGCATGCTTTCAAACTCCTAGGTAGGCAAGAGCTAGGAATTCAAACAAGGAGAGCTCAGTCTGTCTCATGGAGCTGGGCTCGAACCACATGAGTGCAGACCATTTCTGACCAGCAGTTCCAACGTCGTTAAGCCACTGCGGCACTGCATTCCTTTAGTGTTAATTGTTAAAGTTAATAGTGCAATACTCTTTAAAGAAGTGAAAAATCACTGTATTAAAGTAGCATTTTCTACCAGTTTCAACAACAAAATATTTTCTACATTTCAAAATTCAGCAATTTAACTGAGTAGTGAGTTCTACAATCTTATTATAATGTGATTCATTAAAACTCATTATTGATGCTTTGAATATACAATAGCTATAAACAAGAATGGGAATTTTTCACATTTTGTAAGCTATGGATAATAATTTATAGTTATATAATTCCAGTAGTGTGATGCCTATGGCTGAACTGTTTTTTAGTTGAGCTGTTTCCTGACTCTTAAAATACTGCTAAATAAATCTTAGATTTAAATATTTTGGTAACAATTTGCCGTTGTTTACTAATTAATTGTACAAAAACATTAATATTCTGTAATTGCCTTCCAGGAAGACCAACAACTCCTCTTTCAGTAGGAACATTAGTACCTCCCCCAAGACCAGCTTCTAGACCAAAGTTGACTTCAGGGAAACTCAGTGGAATTAATGAAATTGTAGGTTCATTACACCTTGACCCTAATGATCTCTGATCATAGCATTGTTAATTTGAACAATAAGTTAATGTTTTTGCATTTTGTTTGTTAGCCAAGACCATTCAGCCCTCCTTTGACCTCCAATTCCAGTCCACCTCCATCAGCCCCTTTGGCACGAGCAGAGAGTTCTTCCTCATTATCATCATCTACTTCACTAAGTGCAACAAATACACCCACAGTTGGTAAGTTATAGTCTGCTATGATAACATTCACATCTTTTTTAGATTCTGAAAAAACATTATTTACAAAAATTTATATGCCATCCAGTTTTATTGTCTTAAGGTGGTTTATAACTAAATGCATAATATAGCATCCAAGTAGTCACCCAATGCAGTCAATCTCTCATAGGCAATCCCTAATGCCTAAATGCCTGCTGTTACGGACCTGCTCCCCCCCCCCCAAAAAAAAACAACTTTCCAAAACAATAATTGCAGGACCTAAAACCCAATGAGAATGATTTCAGGTAGTGCTATTTTTCTGTCTCCACCTAACTAGATCTCAGTGATACATACAAATCTGTCCATTTTACCATCACTGGATTATAAACTCCCTTATTGTAGACTGACATGGTATTTTTCAGGAGCAGCTAGACACCAAAGCTGCCAACAATTCAATCACTAGGACTCACAGTAGGTGAGACTTGCATCACATATTAGCAAAAGGTCCACATTTCTGAACTTATAAATAAAAAATCCACTGAGAACTACTGCATTTAATTTCACATTTCATTTTTATACTGTTGTGAGGGGGAAATTATTTTTATAATTTCTCCCCTTATTATGATCTGATCTTACTTTGATTTTCGAATTGATTCTAAGCTCTTTTTCATAATTGCACTATAAGACATTTAAACATATTTTTGCATTGAATTTCCATTGATAGTGCAGTATTTAGAATTCTGTATCACCTTATACATAATATTTAAAAACAAAGGTCATGAGTAATGTAACGAGTTAACAACTGCAAAGTTAATATTGCTTAATTGACGCCTATAACATTATATATTCTAGGAACTTCACGTGGTCCAAGCCCTGTCAGCCTAGGAAATCAAGATACGTTACCTGTTGCAATAGCCCTATCTGAATCTGTAAATGCCTACTTCAAAGGAGCAGATCCCACAAAGTTAGTAAAATAGTAATTCATTTTGAACGTCGTATTTTGTGTTTAAAAAGTAGATAAGGTTTCTTTTTATTTTTGAACAAATTTTAAAACTTCAATACTTACTGATATATTTCAATAAATAGTAAATTGTATCACATTTTTAAATAACTGTTACACTTTAGGAATGCATAACTACTGCAGTTTTTTCATCTCTTTTGCTAGACTATTTTATAGACCTTTAAAGTTTACTTTTTAAAAAATCCCTTTCAACAAAATTTGGTTGAAATGCAACAAAATGTGTTTTATTTATATACTTACTGTGGATTGGACTTTAAGAAAAATGTATATTCTATGGAACTACCGTATTTTCCGGAGTATAAGATGCACCTTTTTCCTCAAAAAAAGAGGCTGAAAATCTGGGTGCGTCTTAAACATCGAATACAGCATTTTTTGCCTCCTGAAGCCCCACCCCCTTCACCAAAATGGTCATGCATACCCTTATGGAGGCTTTCAGAAAGCTCCTGGGGGCTGGGGAGGGCAGAAATGAGCAAAAACCAGGCCGTTTTTTGCCCAGCCCCCAGCAGCACTCTATAAGCCTCCATAAGGCTATGCATGCAATTTTTTTGATAAAAAATGGGCCCGTTTTCACGAAAAAGGGCCCGTTTTTGCTTGTTTTCCCCCCCCAACTCCCCCAGGAGCACTTTGCAAGCCCCCCCCCCCCGCCCCGGGCTATTCATGCCTTTTTGGGGGGAGGAAATCATCCGGGCCTTTTTTGCAGAGGTTTGCAGAGTGCAAAAACTTTTTTTTTCCTTTTGGAAAACTCTTTAACTGATTGATGAGAATTACATTGATCAAGTGCTGTGCCAGCAGAAACAAAGTTTTAGGTGCTACAGATTGTCAGCAATGTCCCTCTCCAGCACATGGATAAATACACCTGGAAACATCTACCTACTCTCTTTCTCCCCCTACCTACCTACTGTATTTCTCTCTCTCCCTCTCCCTCCCTCCCTACTCTCTCTCTCTCCCTATCTATCTACTGTATTTCTCTCTCTCTATCCCTGTCTACCTACTCTTTCTCTCCTACCTAACTACTGTATTTCTCTCTCTCTATCCCTCTACCTGTCAACCTATCTACTCTCTCTCCCTCCCTATCTACTATATATCTCTCTCTATCCCTCTACCTACCTACCAACCTACCTACCTACCTACTTCTCTCTCTCTCCCCCTATATTTTTCTCTCTCTTTCTATTTCTCTCTCTATATCCCTCTACCTACCTACCTACCTACTCTCTTTCTCTACCTACCTACTGTATTTCTCTCTCTTTATCTCCCTCTCTATCCCTCTACCCACCTACTTTTTTTTTTATTTGCTTCTTCAAAACCTTGGTGCATCTTATACTCCGGTGTAATTATTCCATTCACCCAAATTCTGACCAGAACTTACCTTTGTCTTCTACAACTAAGGTAGTATTTGTATGTACTTGGTTGGAATGAATGGAGCAGGCTGTCTCCATCAATGTTTTTCAGATTTGGCAACTTTAAATTGTGGATTTCAACCAACATGCTGGCTGGAAAATTCTTGGAGCTGGAATCTACAATTTCAAGCTTCTCCAAAGATATAGAATGGCATTTGCATGAATTCTATTTGGAGCATTTCCAAAGATGGTAACTATGCTTTGGATGCTGAGCACTTCCTGAAAATAAGAGTAAAGTTGTTCTGGGAAGGTTTATGTGAGGAAAATTGGCTCCCCATTTTGCTTTATCTGAATTCTACAAGATAAGGCAGGCAACTGAGCTCAATAAATTAAAAATGGCACCTAATATTTGTTTACAGTTTAAATGTATAAATGAGTATATGTACCTTTCAAATCCAATGATATATTTTACTGTGATTCCAACAATTATAGCTGTAAAATTAACATTTGTCTATTTAAATTTTTCTCTAGATGTATTGTGAAAATAACTGGTGATATGACAATCTCATTCCCAAGTGGGATTATTAAAGTGTTCACTAGCAATCCATCTCCTGCTGTGCTTTGCTTTAGGGTAAAAAACACAAGCAAACTAGAGCAGATTCTTCCAAATGTGCAACTCGTGTACAGGTTTTGTATCTTTTATTTATTATAAAGCCATACTTTTTATTATCTTTTTATTGTTTCATTCTATTTGACTTGCAAAGTATGCTTCTTTCATAAATACCCTTATATTTCTTGCATTTAAGTTTTATAATTTAATTAAAAAATCATTTTATGATTGTAACAAATTAAAATTAACTGTTAATTTTATAGAGGTATTACATTTCATAAAACTGTCCTAAATAATGTTAATCCAGCTTTCAAGATGGATTTTTTTTAAAAAAAATCCATCTAAGCTATGCTAAATTATGTTATGTTACGTTATGATATTATACATTGCTGTTCAATTTGAAATACTTCCAGAAAGGATTACAGAATAAATTGAACATTGTAATGCCTGATCTCAGATTATAGTTTAAAAATATCTAACATAAAATGAAAAATAGCAAAAAAAAATTATAACCATGTAGATTAGATGCTTAAGTGTTGCTGTAATGTTCTGAAACATTATTGCTCATTGATTCATTGTTTATTTTATAACTTCTTCAAGAAGTGCTTTTGCTCTTTTTGCTGTTGAAGCTTGATCTATTTTGTCATTAACTGAGGAAATTAGGCATTAAACAGGAACAACTGTTAATGGGTTAGGTTTAAAGGTCACCAGCTTCAATGTACCCCATTTTTATTAGAATATATTCTGACAATTACCTTGAAGCCATTCTGCAACTACCAGTTTACTTAAAGTTGGCTTAATTTGCAGATATCAACATCTGTAAACTTTTTCCAGATAATTCAGGATATTGGCAAGGCATGAGAGAATAATGTTTCATCTTTTAGCAACTTTCCCTAAATTTTAGTGTGATTGAAGTAACTCCATGTAAGTGTTACCTATCAGCACACCTGGCATCAATTGACAAAGAGAGACATAAATTGGGTGGAACTTTTTTTTTTAAATTGCCAGTCATCATAACCATATGGTGTACTATTAACATATTTTTGGGGGGAGAAAATGTCTTTCTTTTGCTTTTATCTTCTTGACAACAAGAAAGAGTAATGTATGACTTACTGAGCATATCTATTCTCAAAGCAGCAGATACAAATAGTTGAACATTCAGAAGACTATAGATCTTATCATTATTTGATTCTGAGTTACGTTCTGTTTTTATTTCATGTCTGCTGATTTTTCTCAGGAAGCTTTATTCAGAAATGAAAAAGCACATTCCTATGAAAAGGAAGTTCTATTATTTTACAGTATCAGAAGAGGATGAAGGTCTCTGCCTAATTGGAGACTAAATTATTTTGTCAGGACTGAAATTTTACACGATTGCTCTTCTGCCCCTTTCCTTCATTTTGGAAACTGTAGACTTCAATGATGCCTACCTTGAGATTGTTGCTTTATTGCAACATATATTACTTTCGTGTCAAGATTATCACATTTGTCTTCCTTTTAGCGGATCACTGTTATAGTCTAACAAGGATCTGTTATGCTTAAAAAAACTCTAACCATAATTATTTTGCCTAATTTAGGAAGTGTGTCTCTTTGCATAAGGACATCTAAGGCATTTCACATTTCAGGAATTTAATGAAGATGCACATAGGGAAAAACAATTTCTGTAGGCCAAGGAAAAAGACTTATCTGAAAATATTTATCAGGAATAAAATTTTAAAAAATGAAAAACTTAATTTTTAAAAGAAAAACTTTGATCACTGCAGCTTCCAGAACAAAAACTGAGATATACACTGGGGGGGGGGGGACACAATGTTCTTGTTTTTGCTGCAAAATTAGTGACATGTTTTTCCTCAGAATTTATAAGCTAGGTAATTGCAGTTTTTATCTTTATACAGTCAGTCATTCCAAAAGGCTACAAATCAGACCTACAACTTTTAAAGCAATTCTGTATAGCCTTTTGCTGACTGGCTACTTTCAATTTTGGGTCAGAAATAAACTTAGCTTTCAGCTGTTCTTCAACTCTGAGAAACTGTTCTTCTTGGAGAAAGAGGAGATTGATACTTGCTTTGTCTTTTTTGGACACACATAACAGTAATTTAGCAAAGAAAGACATTTTCTACTTATTAATTAAACATTTGAGATTAGAGAGAGAACCCTTAAACTTCAGAAATCATAGATAGAACATTAGCATATCAAACACACTGATCCTTGCAATCATTTGTCTAAAACTCCTTGCTGCACTGAAAGCATTGGAACTTGTACAGCTTATATCACTGCTTCCCAAATCTAAGTAAATTACCCAAAATTGAATGAAAGTGGAGGGTTTGACACATGGATCAATTATCCGATCAGTACAGCGACACTTAAATTGATTTAAAGTGTGTTTTACCTACATTAGTTAAAAGGAACATTTGATAAACAGCTTTGGAAAAGGTGGGGGAGGTACTGTCTTAAATCATTTATCATTTCCAGCAGTTCCACTGCACAATGTCATGACCATAGACTTTAAAGATTTCTTGGTGACAGTCATGTTATCCCAAGTATCAGGAGATGTACAGGTTTTGTACATAGACCAACACATACTTACAATCGCATAGAGAAAAATATATTATGCTATAAATTATCTTTCTGCCCAAAGTGGTCTTGAAATTTCATGAAAATCAGTCAATTCTGCTATCATCTGTTTCCTCTCTTTTCTGACATTAAATAGCTTTCTTGTCTTGGACATCAGTTAAAATTGGATCACGAACAAATTCTGTCAGTCTCTGCATTTATTGTTTTGCTTTTAATGATGGAAGATAGAAATATCTTCTGGTAGTTTCAAGAAACCATTTTTTTTCATAATAGATTTCTAAGGCTACTTCGACATAGAAGAGAACATTGTTATCTACAGCCAGGAATCTTCTCAATCTTAGCAACACAGATGTTTAAATATATGTTTTTATGCCTACATTTTGTTCACAGTGATCCATCACAAAGTGATTCCAGTACAAGGGATTTTTGGATGGATATGCAAGCTGTCACAGTCTACCTCAAAAAGCTATCCGAGCAGAATCCTTCTGCTTCTTATTACAACGTAGAAGTTCTGAAGTATCAGGTAATTTTTGTATTTTGGTGTTGTGAGTTTAAGAGCTTAACAAATCTAGATTGTATTGTTTGCTGGCACTGTAATGCTTGCTGGTATGAATTACAGTATTTTTTGCACTATAAGAAACACTCCCCCCCTCCCCCAAAGTGGGTGGAAATGTCTGTGCATCTCATAAAGCGAATATTGCGATGGGGGGAAGAGGGTTGGTGTGACAGCAGCGTTTGCCACTGTCACCGCTGCTGCCATTTGCCACCACTGGGAAACACGAGCTTTCGCTGTCGAGTAGCTGATTGGCGTTGGATCGGCCTCCCAGAATACCACCGATCAGCTGTTTTAGGCACTAGGGATCACCAGCAGCAAGAAGCAGAGGTGAACGGCAGCGATTGGCTGCAGCGGCAATTCCTGCCGGCTAGAACAGCTGATCAACAGTATTCTAGGAAACCAATCCAACCGCCAATCGGCTGCTTGGCAGCGAAGGCTCCAGCATTCCCCAGAAGCAGCATCTCAGCTCAGTTGACTGATGGTAGGCACAATGGAGTGGATCCCTGATGAGCCACGTGCTGGGGCTGGAATAATGTGCTGAAGGTGACCAGGCTGTTCACTGTTTCCTGCAAGGATGCTAGCCAGATGAATACCGGATGGATGCTGGGAGGCAGAGGCAAAAAAAGTTTTCTTGTTTTCCTCCTCTAAAGCTAATGTGCATCTTACGGTCCAGTGCGTCTTATAGTGCGAAAAATATGGTACCACTCTACCTCTCCTACTGTGTAGTAAAACACCATATATTTACTCAGATTGCTCTGTGTCTTACAGAAATAAGCCTATTCAAGAATGGCATAGCAGATTAATATAGAGTCTATATTTTTAAATTTACTTTAAAAACTGAATCAAGCTATTTAACTAGCTGGTCAGCTAATCAACCAAATCCAAAACGTAATCAGCATAGAAAGTTAAAAATCTTATTGAAGATTTCTATGTTGATTTTGGAGAAGAGCACCTCATTGCATGTTCTCTTTTTATGTTGGATTTATCAGTGTTACCATCTTAGTAGCCTTAGGAGGAAAGATTCCATCCATATACTGAAGTAGGTAGAAGGATTCTGTCATTAGGAGCAAGCAGCCAGAGGAAGGCTGATGAGCTATCCAATACAGTGATGAGTTATCCAAAGCTGTCATCAGCACCATATATCACATCATGCCTGATATTTTTGGAATATTCTGTTTGCTCACTTTATCTTCTGCTTCAGATATTCAGATTGTGCTTGGGTGCAGGTTCATTGTTGCTAATCAGTAGCATGGGTTATTTTATGTTGTCAAAAGTAGCAAGAATGGTTGTGTGTTTCCTGATCAGCTACTTAGGAATCCCTAGCATCAAAATGTTTTACTGTCCTCGCTCCTGCTGATTTGTACTTCATAGTCCTTGCAAGCAGCATGCAAGGTCTTCAAAGTCCTTCAGTACCTTTATGCTTCTGGGCTGCAGCATATCTTCATTAGTGGTGGGGAGTTATTTGCTGATTCCTCCAAGTTTCCAACATTGGCAGCTGTGGACTCAGATTTACTAAGGAAACTCTCCCTTTTCTTCCTGTTACTCTTAGCCCCTGGGCTGTTAACAAAAGAGAATGGGCTGACATGGCAAAAAGTCAGCATCATGGTGTTTCTGCTTTTGCTAGAGGGAGTGCCAACTCAGCACTAACCTTAAAATGCTCCATATGTCTCAGTCTTTTGACTTCCTTTATCTCCCCCCCCCCCATATTTATATTCTACAGTCTTGGAAAGTAAGTCTGCAGGCTTGGAAAGTAAGATTTCCATACTGTGGAGAAGATGGATGTCCCCTAAACAGCAGGGAAGAACCATAATAAAATGATTGAATCATCAGGAAGCCTGAGTTTGAAAAAAGGCTAGCATAGCATTGCTGCCTCAGATGTATACATAGAGTACTGTGTAATTTGGGAGATTTTTATTCCCTAAATAAGAAAAATACAGTCATTTTGTCATAATAAGGATATTATCTTTTAACTATAATGTAAAAGAAGAGACAGGATCTCTTTGAACCAATCTGCACAATACAGAGTTTTAAAACCATATTCAAAAACATATTTAAAAGCTTCTGAAATAGAATATAGGGATATAGTATTGTTTGAAACAGATAGTCATCCAGATACTGATGAACAACAATAGTAAACCACTCCAATCATAGTTGCTTGATTGATCACAACACCCAATCTAAATTAGCAATAGACTCCATAATGGTTCTCCAATCAGTATTGTATATTTATGCAACCCTAGAAGGTTCCAGCATTCCAAATCTATCCATTTTATTTCATTCAATTTCAGCAAATATTAGCAGGGGTATATTTACAGTATGGAGCAGTTAGCCTGATGGTATGTTACAACCTGTGTGAAAACAAAAGACTAATTAATTAAAACTCACAAAACAAAGTCTAGTTATAGCACACAACTCAGCATGGAAGATTTGACCTTAGCCCTAACTACACCTCAACATGAAGCTGAATGCACAAAACAGTCATCCAGCTGACTTCAGTGGTCATATGGCATACATTATTTTAGGTATTCCGGGTCTTAAAAATAAGCAATATTCTGAACTGAGTCTGCAAATGATTAACAACTGCTTAAAAAACAAGAAAGATGTCAGATTCTCAGTGTCCAGTTAAAACTTAAGCAATTGCATTTTTCACTAGGTGAATTTTTCAAAGATAGTCCTACTCATAATAATAAGTGTGAGTAATACTTATTGAGTAACAAGGCATCTGTGGAGATAAAAAGGGTCAATTAGTACACCAGTAACAGCTGGACAAAAACATTCTTAATCATAACTGCACTTGAAGACTTACAAAAGCAAAACCCGGAACAGAAATTTTTCCAGTCTATGAATCTTTTGAATTGAATGTTTGCAGCACTCATAAAAACAGATAGATCCCTTTTCATTAGATGTTTTATTAGATGTTCATTAGATATTGATTAAAACTGCACCCACCTTCACATTTTGTTTTTCATTTTTATTCAATTTTTAACAGTAGTTATTGAAAACTATTTTGAACACTTCAAACTAACAGAACTAACAGAATTATCCTTTTCCAGGCTAGATGGTCAGGTGGGGTTATCAACAATAGTTTAAAACTACTGTTGCTGAGAAGATCCAATAGGTTCAACAGAATCAATAAAAGAAGAATCACGACTCCTCTTTACTAGTTCCTTGTTTAATCGTTTCCTAGGCCAGTCAAAGCTATTAGACCCCAAATAACCATCTTTGAAGCTTACAGTATTTAACAATTTTCTATTACATAACTTAAGTAATTCCAACCTAGGGCATTTAACTATACAGTTATAATTAATTATTAATACCAATAATGAAAACATCTCAAAATCTCTAGTTTTATGAAATTAACTTTATTAATAATTGGCTCTTTAGAGACCAAGAGTACATGAAGTAAAAAAATGAACTTTGGAAGTCATGATATTTTTCAGAATTGATCCTAAAAGTAGTTATTTTATTATTTTCAAAGGTATTGTCAAATGGTATCCAGTCTACACCTCTGAATCTTGCCACATATTGGAAATGTAATGCTAGCACAACTGATGTAAGAGTTGATTACAAATACAATCCAGCATCTATGGCAATGCCAAATATGTTATCCAATATACAAGTCATCGTACCAGTTGATGGAGGTGTAATAAACATGCAGTCACTTCCGCCAGCAAAATGGTAACTTTTTTATTATTGATACTGCATTAAATTTATATTAAGATTTTTGTTGTGACTTCTAAAGCTATTTCTTAAATACATTGATTATTGATGCTTGAAGCAGTTCTCATGGAACTGAAAGAGGGAAGTGTTGTGAGACCAATGGGAACTTTATGATGGGGTAGTTATTACAAAAGCTTGGTTGATGTATAAAAAGAAATTTGCTACAGGTCCATTTCTAGGGTGTCTAGTTACTGGATTGTGGAATTTTTGGTCTACTGCTGCTTCTAGCTAATACAGTATCTGTATGGAATAAGACTTCATCTGTTCACAATATTTTGGTACCGCCCTACCTGGTGTGTAAAACTGAAACCTGTTTGGATAGTGGTGGGTATTGGCCTTGTCAGAGATTTATCTTCTGGATTTTAGGTCTTGCAGAAGTCTAGGCATGAATGATTTCTCTTTGCATGATGAGATGCAGTACTGTAGCGGTACATGGATGCAGAATAATATAGACCTGGCTTTGGAAATGAGGAAGAAAAAATAAGCAAATCTGTGGAGGAGAGGAAAAGTTTGAGACTACACAGCCTTGAGAAAAAAGCTTTGACGGATTTTCAAGATTGTTGTCAGTTCTTTGACCTAGGCATGGTCAAGAAACAGGCATCACAGGGATTCCAGTAACCTTTTTAAAATTATTGTAGGATAGAATAACAGCATATTGAAAACTTACCTGAGGTTATTTTGAGTTACTTTCACATGCTTTTTCTCAGAACTGTGTAGTCTTTTTGGACCCCCCCCCCTTTAACAAGTTGATAATTCCTTCCTCATTCCCATTCTTCTCAATGAATGAAAGTATTTTTATGTGACACTGAACTGTAAGGACAAGTTGAGATAACTGCTAGTGTAGTATCCAACTTACCCAGCAATGGCTCTTTTTAAATTCCTGGAGCTTATCATAGGACTGTTGGTAGAGATTTCTGTGCTGTTAATGCTGGAGACCTATAACTTCCTTGTTATTGAATGAGTATAAAGATGATTAAGATTCCATGGCACTCACGAGCTTGTCCTAAACCAAGGGTGTCAGACTCAAGGCCCGCAGGCTGGATTCAGCTTGCCAGGTTCTTAAATCTAGCCCGCGGGCCAGCCTGGAAATAGCAAAAGACTGGACCGCAGTGCCTCTGGCAGCAAAAATGAGTCACGTGGGAGCGTGCCCCCTTTTGGTCTGCATGGTGCTGCAGAAGGCATCTGTCCTGTCTCCCCCCCACCCACCCCCCCAATCCCCAGCCGGCCCATGGAAAACTACAATGCTGATCTGGCCCTCAAAGAAATCCAGTTTGACATCCTTGTCCTAAACGATCTTGGCTCCTGTGTATCTTATGCACAACACTTACCATGATTTACAATTATTCCAGTGTTGTGTGCCTTTAGGATTTAACATTTGTATGAAGCTGCCGGAAAAGATATTCCACTGGTTTGGGTTGAAATGCCAATAATATATGATGGTACTGAATTACAGTATATATCATCACCCTGGCCTTAACCAGAGATGCTTTGGAAACCTTGAATGAGTATCTGAAGTTTACAAGGTCCTGGATGGGCCAAAACAATTTTAAATTCCATTCAAGCAAGACAGAATTCATTTTCATGCAAAAATATCTCCACTCATTGGCTACCCTGGTGATTTCTCTAGAAGGGATCACTTACTCTCTGAAAGAGCAAGAATTTAGGGATTACCTTAGACTCATTGAGACAACAGATAAAAGCCATAGCCAAAGTATTCCTCATTCAGCTAAAGTGATGCACCAGTTGCAGCCCTATTAGAATTGTGCGACCTATATCCACATTACCATCTATATCAATATCAGGCTGCCTTTGACCATATATTGGAAACAATATTAGTGCACAATGCAGCAATTAGGATATGAGAACTATATTTGTCATATATCACTAGTTATTTGGGTGCCTCATAGGCTACCAGTTAGTTTCTGAACCTAATTCAGAGGCTTGTTATCACTTAAAATCCATGAATAGCTTGGCTCTAAGGTTACATTAAGAACTGTCTCTTCCAGAGGGAATATCTAAAATCTGCTTGAGCATCATATTTTTAATTACTTGAAAAATTGCCTAAGATAATAGATGCAGAGTAGCAGTGTGGAGAACTGCCAATATATATATTCTTTTTTTCTTATAGGAACTCAGAGCAGATGAAAGCTTTGTGGAAATTAGCTAGTATTTCAGAAAAATCAGAAAATGGCGGTAAGAAGAAATGTTTTAAGTTAACTATTAAAGATTAGAAAATTACCATTGGTATTTTGACCCAAAAAACCAATTAAAAACATATATTGTGGTATATGGAAATATAAATAATTATTTTCTCCCCAAAGAGAGTTTTATGATGGATTTTTTTTCCTCAACTATCATATTTTGCAATAATTTATTTATTTAGAAATTTTATATATCAAAACTGACATTGAGCCTTATCTATTTTTTCATTACAGCATAATAAATTATGAGTATATACTATATTGAGTTGCAGAAAAATAAGTTTTGTCAGCATCTCAATACAGAATAGCCTTAAAAACGCAAGAAAAAAAATGGAGTAATTTAAACTACAGTCAATTTAAAATGAAACATATGCCTTGGTTCACCATATTGAAATGAGATCTTCTTAAGCAAGTCATATAGGTGTATATCAACTAAACAGACATTTTTGTATGTCAGTTTTGATCTGAGCTTTATACCAGATTGATCTACGTCTATACACTTGTATGTGTGTTTGTATGTATGCATGAGCCACAATAAAGAAAGGTATAACTAGTCTTATATATTTTAAAAGATTCAAGAACAACTCTTGATACATATGCTAATTAATTAATACATATGTTAATAGAAACATGAGATTCAATGGGAAATATATGAAATTACTCCAGTCAATTGAATAGCCAAGTAAATTAAAAAATTATTGTAAAACGACAATATATTTTAAGGACAATTCTTACAATGTCATCTATTTATAAGAACACTGTGCTAAACATCATTCATTGTTATGTTGCTGTAATAAAATTGGCTGATTGTGTTAGTGTTTTGCAGCAAATTATAATTAAGAATTTTGAGGCATTTCAATGTGAAAAGAAATGTTACTGGATAAATTTTAGTAGATTTTTTTAATGTATTATCGGTAGTCAAAGATCACTTGTATTTTAGTACTTATGCTAATAAGCAGACTTTATTGTTTCTCTCTCTCTCTTCCCTCCTGAATAGGCTCTGGCTCTCTCAGAGCTAAATTTGACCTTTCTGAAGGACCCAGTAAGCCAACAACACTTGCAGTGCAATTTATCAGTGAAGGAAGCACACTTTCTGGAGTAGACGTTGAATTAATAGGCACTGGCTATCGGCTTTCCCTGATTAAGAAGAGGTTTACCACTGGTAAGAAGGATAATGTTCTTCTGAGGATAACCTATAGAGCTAATTTGTAATGTCTGACAATCATTGGTGATAAGAAAACCAAGGTGGCTGGACAAGAGCCAAGGTGGCACAGTGGTTAGAGTGCAGTACTGCAGGATACTTCAGCTGACTGCTAGCTGCAGTTCAGCAGTTCAAATCCCACTGGCTCAAGATTGACTCAGAATTCCATCCTTCTGAGGTGGGTAAAATGTGGGCCTAGATCTGTGATGGCGAACCTATGGTACACGTGCCACAAGTGACACATGGAGCCATTTCTGAGAGCACACGAGGCATCGCCCTGTCAGCTCCAGCGTGGAGCTGATTTTCAGCCTTGATTTTCGTCTGTTTTTTGCCCTCCCCAGGCTCCAGAGGCTTTCTAGGATTCCCTGAAGCCTAGGATTTCCCTGAAGCCTAGGATTTCCCTGAAGCCTCCGGAGGGCGAAAAACAGCCCAGTGGACAACCCGGAAGTCCATTCCCACACTTCGTTTGCATATTGGACTGTTTTTTGCCCTCCCCAGACTCCTAGAAAGCCTCTGGAGCCTGGGGAGGGCAAAAAACGGACCTACCAGGCCCAGTGGAAGTCAGAAAATGGGCCGTTTTTGGCCTCCGGGGGGGGGGGGGGGCATTTTTACCCACCCCGGGCTCCTAGAAAGCCTCTGGAAAGTATATAGTATATAGAAGTATATAGACATATAGAAGTAAGAAAGAATATAAGTCTACGTGCTGTTGCTATATAGAATCATAAGGGTAAAACCTGTTGTAATAGGTGTTTGCAGTTCTATAATCCTGTTATCAGTTTGTTTTTTAAATTTATAAGGCCATCCACTGTACAAAAAGGCGACACTGGTGCGGAACAAAGTTATTAAGTTAGACGTTATAAAAAGTTAGAAAAATGTGTATACTAATTTTGCATTTTGATTAAAACATGTTGTGTGTGTGTGTATGTTTGTTTGTGTGTGTGTGTGTGTGTGTAATACAGGTAGTAAGTACTGTCTTTTCTGCCCATTCTTCTGGTTCATGTAAAAACTCTCCTCCTATGTGTAAGGGCAGCAGAGGGCTTTGCATGATAAAACACACCAGGTTCCTTGGCACACCAGGAAGGAAGTGGAAGGATTCATTCCATTCTTGAAATCCTAATTTTAGATGGAAGGTCGGAGATCATCACTATGAGGACTGAAGTAAACACCCCAGGGTGGCAAAACATGTGGATGTCTAGTTTAAAAAAATGTATTTCCTATTAATGTTGTTTATTGAGATACTAACTGGATCTTTTTATGTCTTTCAGGACGATATATGGCAGATTGCTGAACAGCCTATTAAGAAAACTAAGTTATTTTCCAATGAATAAGAAGTTTATTCATTATCTTACTATCTTTCCAACACTATTTTAACATGCATTAATTTTTGAAAACACATTGCATAGTTTTTGGAGTTTATACCCAACAAAATGCACTTTTGAAAATAAGTCAGTTTAAAAACTATTCTGTTTTGAAATAGCACTGAAATAAACTCCAACAGTACAGAAAATCAGTTGCAATACTGAAACAAGATACTGAAATACTTAATAGTAATGTAGCCTCGGAGCCAAATAGCAGTTATGTGTGGTATTTAAAGTGTGTGATGCTTTGTGATACCTTAAACAAAACTATATTTTAGCTTTCTATAAATATTACTGAAGTATATTTTTCAATATTGCCATTCCATAAACAAAACAGTGGCAAAGTATTTTTTTGTTTTCACATTTGCATATTCATGTGTCATATCTTATTAGAGATTATCTATAAAAATAACTTTATTTCCATATATCATACATAATTAAATGACCAGTGTTTTATAATAGATGGTTTTTAATGTAAAGTGCAATGGTTTTTTTAAAATTGCAATGTACAACAGAGTTATTTACTTCTGCCATTAGTTAACATGATGGGAGTTGTAATTTTAATTAATGCTGTAGATTATTTATTTTTATATGAAATTTGTAATGTTTGTGCCTTTTCAAAGCTGTGCCTGTCAAATATTTATGTGCTTCTCATTACTTGTTTTAACTATCTAGATCTTCCAATTAGTAAACTTGAAGGAAGTAATCTTATGCTTACAGAATGGAAGAATCTGTTGTGTTCTATCTTCCATGTACCCCTCAAATTTGCTAGGGAGGCTCTTCAGGACTCCTGGTGTCGATTTTGTGGGGTCATGAGGCATTTAAAGTGGGAAGGAGAAGCCAACCAGCACACTACAATTTCTTTCTCTGGAAGATAGGCACAATTGGATATAACTTGGCATTTGAAAATCAAAACAGAAAATAGCCTTTAAAATAACTTCTGCTGGGTTAAATGCAATAAATGCAGCCATTACAAAAGAAACCTTTTAACTTTTGTCAGTTACCATATAGTATCATCATTTAAAATATCACCAAAGATATGTAAAATCCTGACAATGAATTAAATTTTAAAATAATAAAAATGCTACACTTCTGAAAAGTGTAGAATTCCCTAGCTACAAAAAGATGAATTTCATATGCTTTCAAACATATAAAATGGGTTGCTTATGAGCAGCAATGTTGTTTTAAAGGTCTATTTTAAGAAAAACAAAAATAATTATTGATAATTTCAATAAATGTTTTATGACCACAAATAAAGAAGCAGGTAATAGCCCTAATACAAAGAAAGTGACCCATTTAAATAAGTTTGATACAAATCCTGTTTTTAGAATTTATATGCCTTTAAAAAATTAAATGTAAAAGTCAAAAGTTATTAGGGAAGGTGAATTATATGACCAACATCACCAGAAATTAAGTACTTTTTCAAATTCTAGTTGCTAACAAAACCATACATGAAAATCACTAACTCAGTGGATTAATGAATAAAATAGTGGATTAATATATCAGTGTTCTATATGGCCACTAAATTTTGATGAATCCTTAGCACACTACAAATAAAGCTAGATGTATTCTGTTCTATTGACAAAGTAATGAATACCTAAGATAAATCAGATATCTTTTCCTCCCTCTTGTGAGACCATTAATCTCCTACAAAAAGTGGAGAGAAAATATCAGTGATGGTTTTTTTTTGGGGGGGGGGGGAATCAGACACCTGAAATGTGGCTGTCTTGTTTTTAAAGATACATGGATCATTTTTTTGTTTTATAAAAGAAATAAACCTTTGCCATCACTTCATGTGACATACCTTCAGCAGCCCAGCAACATTCATTCTTTAGCTGTGATATAAATGTCTCTCAGAAAGATACTACATTATGACATTGTAATGTACAAGATACTCTGGCTCATTATTGGGATGGGGGGGAAATGGCAGCTATTTTTTTTTCCTTAAGAAAAAAAAAGCCACTTTATCTTTGATTTTCAACTCTGGCCTCTCACTCAAAATTCTTCAGTTTCACATTTTCAACCAAAAATGAATCCAATTGTAATTGTTTTCAGACAAATACTGAAAAGCATGAATAATTCATAGATTAATAAATGATTATAGAATTGCAGTCAAAAATTAGTTTATATATTTGCCTTGTTTTATAAAAAAACTAGGATTCCATTAGAGTACTACACAGTTAATTTTTATATTGTAGAATAAAATGTTTTGATGGAATTTTTAACAAATTGAGATTTCAGATGGTACAGACTTTTAATGGATTCTTAATCTGCTAATACAATCAACAACTGAACAGTTCAATAACTTTTGAAAGTCAGTCTGTTTTATCTTCCATTTTAATCATGTATTCACTGTAATCAGTGCTAAATTTCAGCACCTTCTAGCCTTACTACCAAATGTTCTCAAATACATATTCACAAAGGCTGCAGGTTATAATTTTGAAGCCATGCAACTTTATATTTTTTTTAATCTATATCTAAATATAGGTATAGATGTGTATAAATAAAACCTATCTCGTGGAAATTTCATGTAGCAAGCTGGATCTTGCTTGTTTATAAAGATATCGCCTTTGTAGCTGCCTATTGGGAGAATTTGTAAACTCAAATCTGAAGGGTCTACAGGTTCTACAAATTGTAAATTAAAGCAATATAAATCTTAGAGAAATTGTAAATACATCTGATCTTTTACAAAAATGTTTTAAAAATTGCACCTATAATAAACATGTAATATATAACAATCTGATTGTTGCTGTTTATATGATTTCATACATAATGCAGAAGCATTCCATGGACAGTCTTCAGATAAAATATAATCTGATTCTGTTTCACTCTTAGAATTTGTTCCTTTTCTACATATTTTTCAGCACTATTATGGCTATAGGTTTATGAGCTTACTACTACCAGACAATATCAGTGCTCACAGGCTCTTTTTCCAGTTTACTAGTATCAGAATGTAAGAAAAAATAGTCTGTTCCTGTTTTCTTTTAGTTGTTTGTGAAATAATAAAACTCCTCTCATTCCCATTGTATATAGAAAGAAAGAAATGGTTAAGCTCCCAGCACCTTCATTTTTTTTTACATTTTTGTATTTTTCTGTGATTTGGGAAAACAATTAGATAGTGTAGTAAAATATACATTTTAAAATGTAAACTAATTACTGTAATACCCCAATTGTTTTTTCCTCCACTGTAATACAATAGTGTACAATCCATGAAGTTGATATGAAAGTACAGTACATGAGCAGTTTTGCAATCAAGAATCTTTCTCCGGGTACTGAAATCATAGATGCATATTGCTATGTTGACTAGATTATTTGAGGTTCTAGTAAACATGCAGAAAGTGGCCTCTAGATAATGACTGAATTGAGCCACAGGTGTGGGAAGAATTGCTTCCAGTAGAAAGATGGATCGTTCACAGTTCAAAACTAAATTTACTGCATTTTGCCAAAAAATAGAGAATGAAAAAAGTCCCAAAACAATTTTCTTGAGAATTAATGAGGGACAGTAGTTATCCTGAAAACCTCCATTAGAAAATGCTCTAGATTTACCAGTGCTAAATAATTTCTGTATCTATAGCTGTCATATTAGAAAATTATGGATTATTTGTCTGATATGAAAGTTATATAGTTATCGCTGAAGAAAAATTGGAGACCTGCAGTCATTAGATAGACATCTGCAGGTATTAGCATCTTCCAAATGATTTTTTTTTTAGTATTTATGAAATATATGCCTGGTCTTCCTATCCAAACTCAAAATATTTCACTCTTATTTTACAAGGCAGCAGTTCTGATTTATGTAAACCAAGAAATTTTTCCCTTGTACACAACTGTAGAATTTTCACCTGCAACTTGATTTAAGCATAACAAAATCCCCTAAATTAGGCATCAGTTCCATGCAGAGAAGCAATTTCATGGGGCCCACATAGACAACAAATAAGATATTCCTCTTATAATGAATTACCATTGGGATGCCTCAGCTATAGTTACAATGCCATCCCTACCTCAAATTACAGCTAACATCTGTAAGTATGTTATCTGTCATACCAACATTTAATATTTCTAAACTGTCCGAAGAAACCAATATTCAACAATTACCCAAGTTGTTTGCTGTTAAAAACTGTAAAAGCTTTATGCATTTTACCCCAGGTGAAAAAAGTTGGAAGTATTTTTTGTATTCTGTTACGTAATTCTTTCCTGCTGCGTGCACGGAACATTATGAACGTTTTTAGCCTCCCTTCCCTCCCAAAATCCGAACAATATGAAAGCTGTTTTTGGGGGAAGTGATGCACCTCGTTAAAAGTTTTCTCCTGGGCATGCAGTTGCTAGCTTGCACCTGCAAACTCCGCTCGTGCACGTCACGCTTTAAAAGGCCGCCTGCCTTCCTCCCAAAATCCGGAGAGAGGGAGGGAGGGAGGGAGAAGAGGCTGGTTTCTATCATTTCCGCGGCTCCCTCTCGGCACCGCCTGTTTGGGAAGGAGGGAGCTTCAACCCAGAGGGCGCGCGCGATTTGCTCTCCCGGCGCGGCCTCTGGGACTCGACTTGGGGAGGGGTGGGGGGAAGGATTCGGGAGCGGCTGCGGAGGAAGGACCCAAGAGGGGAGGGAAACCGCGGGAGCGTTGCGGCTCAAGGTCACTCCGGGCATCAGCAAACCGGCACCTTCGGCCCAAGGAAAGCGCCCAGCTTCCCGGCTCGCACGACGCAGAACCCGTCGAGAAAGGAGAAGAGTCTCTCGGGGTAAGGTAGCCCTAGCCAGGCTTCTAGTTCCAGCCTTGGGGAGCCTCCCCTCCGAGAGAGGGTGGGAGAAACGAACGGCTGGGCTTTTGCAGGCAGGAATGGCGGCTGGTGCGGAGAAGCGTTTTCTTTTTTCTCCCCCCCCCCCCCCGTCGGATACTGAGAATCCCTTTTAAAAATCCCAGTATTTTTACTGAGACACCGAGGCCGATGCTGGCGCCAGTGTCGCCGTAACTCCTTGAATGCGGCTTCTTCGCGCTGCCGCCATCCTTTCCCCAACGCCACTAAAAGAAAAACCTGTCAGAGCTGGTGGGTTTTGTTTTTCTTTTCTTTCCTTTTTTTTTTTACTTTGAAAGGTGAGGAGCTTATTATACTCGGTACTTGCAAGTTAGTCTTCAAACAGGTTATTTCCGCTCCGCACAAGTACTGCGTGTCGCGCACTCGAACTCTTTGTCCTTAGCCACCACAGCCGTTGGGCATGCTGAGTGGAGAAGGGAGGGGGGAGGGAAATTGAAATATTTTGCCCAACACAGCTGGGGAGCATCAGGTAAGAGAGAGCAGCTGACTTGCCAGTGTGATGTTTCGGTGATATGGTCGGTGAGTTCATTTGAATTGGAATGCCAGAATTTGGGGGTGCTTTTTTCACGGGGGGGGGAGAGGGGGGATGCCCTAGTTCACAAGTGGTATTCCAGTGAGAAAAAAATCCCACCTCCAAACATACAGTATCCCGTTTTGCAGATCCGGTTCCCTGCAAATACATGTTGGTGTTGAAATGGTGATCCAACCACTCCAGAATGTTGTGGTATCTGCTTGTCCTATGCTTTAGGACGATTGCTATCTGCCAATTGTGTGTGTACGTATTTATGTTTTGTTGCTTCTGGTGGTGTTTTTGGCACAAGGCTGCCTTTCTTACTCAGAGGCTGGATCTCCTGTTGTGCCAGTATAGACACTAAGATTGCTCTTTATATGAAATGGATTCCAGTCTTTCAAAACTGTAAATGAATAGAGTAGATAAAGCATAGAGTACTATAAGATGCCTCATTTTAATCCCAAAAGTTGATATGACTATCCTAAAATTATTCAAAAAAGGTTGTGTTCCCCAGATATTTCTACCTGATCAACTTAGCCATGATTAATTAAAATAACCTAGTTTTATAAGTTTCCATGACACTGAAGAGTAAAGACATATACATACATTCATGCTAAATTCACATGGTATAATAGACTAAAATGTGGTTGGTGTTCGGTATGTCCTACAAACATAGATTGACACTACTAATATATCTGGATAGAAAAAGGTATGCAGTAATATTGCAAAAAAATATCTGCTGACAGGAATTTGCTCTTAAGTGGCTTCTTTTTGCTGACAGCATAAAAACAAATGTATGTTGTATTATGACTAGCTAAGGATAGCTTCAGATATCAGAGGGAAAGTATGGCATATGCTCATGCACTATTTCTTAAGAATAAAATTACTCCTTGCTACAGTTGTTTATGTTTGTCCCCATTTTCTCCTCTACTATTAAATAACTACCTCTACTATATATGACAGTTGCATAGTGGCTGTTAGCATCTTGATCTTATTGATAGCTCCTGATAGAGACAGATAGCTTGCTTATGATAATACAACTCTATAGCCTAACTTACTATGTATTTTGAAAACTACTCATTCTGTTGTTCTACTTTATTTGAAGATAGAAATGTATAGTGTCCCTTCTGTCATTTAAATCTTTTTCTATTTGCGGTGGAATAAAAATCACTTTTCAAAACTTAATGTTGCAGAGTATTGCATACGTTCTTTGGCTCAAACATTTTAATATTTCACACAGTTTAACCAAACTGAAATCATTTGAGTGTAATTACAATGTATAGTCATTATGCTGTAGTCTACAAGATTTTTAAAGCTTGGCTTTAATTTTGTTGGTATTCTGGGGGATAATCGTGTTTCATATTTTTAGTTCTTGGCTAAATTAAGCTGTGATCTTGTACTTGCCTACATGGGAGTCAATTGTAATCTGGATGATAGACCACCAGGAAATAATCAGAGCTGTAAGGTAAAATGGGAAGTAAAAACAAAAACACAGAATGTAGGAACTATCAGACAACTTCCAAGTTGTTGCCAGGAAAAATACATGAGAAGATACCAAGCATGACTCAAATAAGACTTTACCATATAAGAAATTTTGAAAGACATAAAGGAATGACTATTTGTATTTAACTAGTGTTTATTTTATTTTAATAGGGCCAATTAAGATGGTGTTCTTTGACTTCTTGTTTAAGGTCATTTAAATTATTTCTCCTTCCAGTCTAGAAAGTCTCTTTCCCTACTTGCATTCTAATAGTGTATCTGCTTAGTTAGTCTACATAATTCTTGTAGCAAGAGCAGCATGCTGACATAGTGGTGACGATATTCTCTTGCTGCTCGGAAGGTTGAGAGTTCAGTCCTAGATAGTGCCAAATGTTTCTGTTCTAGGGCACAAAGAAACAATATCTTCTGCGAACTCAATGTAGGCATCAGAAAGGATATCTTATCAGTAAATGATTAGCTCCATCCAGTTGCCCCAACTCTACTCGAATAGAAACGATAGGGTAAAAAGGGAGCTTATTTGGAATTGATTTCAGTATGATTATCTTAGAATAACTCACTGGAGAAGAGCCTAATGCTGGGAAAGATTGAGGGCAAAAGAAGAAGGGGATGACAGAGAATGAGGTGGCTGGATGGAGTCACCGAAGCAGTCAGCATGAGCTTAATTGGACTCCAGAGGATGGTAGAGGACAGGAAGGCCTGGAGGAATGTTGTTCATGGGGTCGTGATGGGTCAGACACGACTTTGCAGCTAATAACAACAATCTTAGAATTTTCTAATAAAAATCAGAATTCAAAGGTTCTGATAATAGCCAGTTTGTGGTGGAATCTCCATCTAGAGAGTGGGGAGGTGTGAATCCTTGCAGAGCAGGAAACAGTATAGGCCTTCTCTCCCACAGTCCCTGAAGCCTTATCTGATCGTTCCCAAGATAATGCAGTCTGTCTGGCGAGAAGCTAGTAAATAGGCATTGTAACAATAAAGAAGTGTAGACCTATTTCCTTAGGCTTGACACATTCTCAGTAAAAGTAGTTTTAGTCTCCCTCTGGAGATGATTTCCTATTTGCGCTGATCTACCTAATAATAGTGCTGATACTAGGAAGGAAGGAATGATTTGGAAGTCCTTGTCCACTGTAAACTTGTTTTAGTCTGAGCTTCCTTTTACTGCGGTTATTAAAGGTAGACTCACTTCCAGAATGTGCAAAAGATTTCCACTGACTTTCTTTTGTCATATCTCATATTTCTGACTGTTCTTTGTTTTTGTTCTAGAGCTAATAATGTTGCACTGAAATACTTTTAGTGTCCACCAAACTAAGCAAGAACAGGTTAATCTTATTTCAACTTTGAAGTTCTATGTCAAGGATAATCAGTGTGTTTTCCTTTAATAGCCTAATTGTATTTATCTTTTTGTTTTAATTTCCAGGCCTATTAAAGAGTTATGCCATTCTGATCTTCATAGAAGAAAACATATTCTATTTCACTTTGAAGGAGGATTTCTTATTACAATAATAATGTATTCAGTTCCTCGCTCCCTATCTGGAATGGAAGGAGATAATGGGCATCCTAGGAAATTTATCTCTTTCCTTTTCGTTTTTGGCATTACATTGTTATGTGCTGGATTTTTGCTATCAATGTTTGTTTTGCAGACATGTCCAAGCGGAGCCTTTGGTGACTGTAAGGGAGCTTTCAAAATCATTGGGCCTCTGCTTGCAGTTGTTGGACTAGTTTGTATAATTTTGGCACAATCGAGAGCCAAAGATTATCTCAGAGATGTGCAATTGCAAGACGATCAGGTATATGGATTTGTTTTTTGTCGAGGAAATTGTCAGTTTGCTCAGTTCCTCGTGTTTGGGTTTTTATTTTTAACAAGTGGGATGCTTATTAGTGTCCTTGGCATATGGATTCCCGGATGCAGTCCAGGATGGCGCTATCAGCAGTTTAACCATAGCAATACATCTGGCATTGAACTCCAGGACTGTGGATTTCATTCTGTTCAAACTATGGGCCCTTTAATCGTGCTTATTGGATTATGTTTCTTTGTAATAGCTCACATTAAAAAGAAACAAAACTTAAATCTCATCCAAGAATCTTCAGTCAGTGAAGAACAACTGAACTCTGAATCATTTCAAGTTACAGTAGGTAAGTAAATAAACCAGCCAGATATTTTTATCGGTTATTAGAATTCTAATTTATTTTATTCAGAGGTGGTATTCAGCAGGTTCTGATCAGTTTTCTGGAGAACCAATAGTGATAGATAGATAGATAACTGATAGATAATTTTGAGTATTTCAGAGAACCGGTAAATACCACCTCTAACTGGCTCCGCCCCCATCTATTCTTGTCTTCCGAGTCCCAGCTGATTGGGAGGGAATGGGGATTTTGCAGTATCTTTCCCATGCCACACCCACCAAGCCACGCCCACAGAACCGCTAGTAAAAAAAATTTTGAATCTCACCACTCATTTTATTAGTCAGTTTAGAGAAGGTATATAAACAGAAAAGAAAGGGAGAAAACAGTGGGATACAATTAAGAAATCAACGGATTCACAAATGTCAGAGAGACTTGTCATTTTCCATGATACCATTAGTTGAGTTTGAGTAAGTGAATATTGGTTGACAATTTGAGAGACGTAAATAAACATATTACTTTTATATAAACTTGTATGTCTTGGGGATAGAACATTTTTATTTCAGTTATATTCAATTATATCGTATTTCAATTATATTCAATACAGGTAGTCCTCAACTTACAACTATTCATTTAGTGACCATGGAATAGAATAGCACTGAAAAAAGTGACTTATGACTGGGTTTCATTTAGGCTCTTGCAGCTGGCATATATTTATAGCAGTTGCAGTGTCCCAGGGTCATGTGATCCCCATTCCCAGCCAGCTTCCGACAAGTAAAGTCAGTTGGGGAAAACCAGATTTGTTTAATGACCACATGATTCACTTAACAACTGCAGTGATTTGCTTAACAATTGTGGCAAATAGAGTTGCAAAATGGGGTGCAATTCAACTGCTTAACTGCTTTGGTTAGCAATGGAAATTTTGGGCTCAGTTGTGGCCATAAATCAAGGATTGCCTGTATATTATAAAACATAACTCTAATTATTTTGAAAAACTAAAATTAGTCTAAAAATATAAATTAAACATTCCAACTCATGTTGAATTTCTAGTGAAATATACTTTGGAAACATGGCTCTCTTATTTACTGCTGCGAAGAAATCTGCAGATGTTGATTTTTAAGCATTCCCTTTATTTTGCAGGTGATACTGTAATGGTTTTTCCTCCACCACCACCACCTTATTTTTCTGATTGTTCACCACAGACCATAACTCCTAGCTTGGTAACCAGCGAACTTATTTTAAATGAAAATCCTCCACCATATCACAGTATTTTTATTAACTGGTAAGGGTATTTCTGCTTTTAATTTTAGATACTTAACTGTTTTAAAAATAAGCAACAAATTATGCATGACTTGGGAGATTCCTAAATAGACTTGCACACTTTCCCCCCATTTCCATTGAGAGGCTTGGAATTAAGTTGGTGTGAACAATAATTATTAATTCCTATTTTTATTATCTATTTCTAAATTGGCTAATAGGCATGTAATGATAGAAAGATAATCCCACTTTAGCTACCTTCCTCTACTACTACAACTTTGATTCTTTATTGATTCTTTGTTAAGTGTACCTGCTTTCAAGTTTTTTAAAAAATTGAAGTATATATTAATGGATCTCTCACATCATGTCTGGTTTGGTCTTAATATTTTAAGGATATATATACATACATACATACATACATACATACATGCATACATACATACATGCAAAACTAAATCAGATAAGCACCTGCATACAAGACTGTCCTGACCTTCCTAAAAAAAAGTATGAGTATAAGTAAAGTTTACTTGGAAAAAAGACATTTAATTAATTACAATTAATTATAGATTGTGATCTACATAGACAAATATATCAGGTGTAACATTATATTTAGTCTTTGCATACTAGAAAAAAGGAGTGTTGAAATGATAATATCTGTGCCAGATGTCATTCTACCATATAGTGTATATAATCATAGGGTTGGAAGGTGCCCTTTAGACTAGGGATCCCCAACCCGCGGTCTGGGAACTGACACTGGGCCATGGCATGCCAGAAACTGGGCCGTGCAAACAAAGCCCCATCCGCAGGATCAGACAGCACATGAAACCATGGTCCGCAGAAAAATCTCCCTCCATGGAACCAGTCCCTGGTGCCCAAAAGGTTGGGAGCCACTGATTTAGACCATCAAATCCAACTGCCTACATTGTATAGCAATCCAAATTATAAGATCCTAGGTAGATGCTTGTCAGTAATTGCATGAGTAGCTCATCCCATTTTCACTAACCTCATATATTTCTCACAGCTCCTTACTGTTATAAAGTTTATACTATTCTTATATTGTTTGTATTATTATAAAGTGTTATACTTTTTAGTATTATCGGCATCAACATTAGCCATCTTAGATGAAATATGTAATATGTCTATGTCTAACATTTTTATTTTGTTATTGTTTTTTTCAGAGTATTGAGTTGTGAATAAGAGGCCTACAGAGAGAATGAGTTCCACAGTATCAGAAAACAGTTTGCCTTCTAAAACTTAATCAGTTCATTGTCATTCCTCTGAGTCATCTCAGAATTACAAGGCAAAAGAAGCAGCTGTAAATAATGAATGTGTCTTGTCGTCTCCCTTCCATACTCAGCTAATCCATTACCATCTGCTTATCACCAACTATAAGAAATATTCAGAGCTGAAGCAGAAAGACAGGGGAAGGAACAGGTATAAACAAAGACAAGAAAAGAAAGAACTACAGGAATTCCACATAAAAATAAGATGAAAGGAGAATGAAAAAGGCTACACCTGCATTTCCTCAACCCATTAAAGAGAGCAGTAGGTTTTACATTAGGAACATGCAACCTTTTTCAAGTCAAAGGCTTCCACCAGACATATAGAATATTTTGGGGTTTTTACAAAGAAAGTGGCTGGAACATGGATGGGGAAATGGGTTTACCCAGAAACAAGTGGCTACATTTATTTCCTACAAGACAAAGGAAACGTTAGTGATCGTTAGTGTAAAATAGATTATTCCCTTACCTGTAATATACTTTGCCATCCACGCCACTTCTACAACAAATGTATATCTGTTAACTTGCACATCCGTTTTTCTTATTGTTCCAATGTCAGGGATAGTAGCAGTAGCAACAGCTCAGTTTCATGGAGGCTGCTTGAAATCCAGAGGATATGCTGAAAAATACTTTGACATCTTGAGTAAAAAAGGAAAATAAGGGGGAACAAGGAATTAGCTGAACACCCAGCTGAAGTAGGAAGCCAGAATGAGTTTTAAAAAATGGACAACATGATCATGTTACAGGCTTATTTGCTGGTGTTAGAATCCAGCAGTTCATCAGTGTTAGAAAGGTCAGGGAGGCATGAAGCCTCCAGACGTTTTGGAAAATTCATTTGCTGAGTGAGCAAGAAAGGATTGCTGAGGGACAAACAAGTGAGTTGGAAACTTTGCTGCCATAAAAGTCACCTGACTGCTCTACCAAGCAGTCAAATAAAAGGAGACATTCCTTTATGGAAGATAAGGAAGAAGAGAGGTGTGATAGCAGCAGTGGGAAGATATACACCGTGATGCTTCTTGAAGAGGTTGTTATTTCATAGGCTTGGTAGGAATAGAGAATTAGGAAATGAGTGAAGGAACAGATACATATTGTGACTTCTTGGTTCACTGTGCTATGCTTCAAAGGTAAGCAGAGGGCACAGAAAAAGGACAGCAAAGAAGTGTGAACCTCTGACAATCCTTGACAGTGCTGGGATATGCTAGAGCCACTCTCAACATTCAACAACAACTCTTGATGGCTCTTAAGAGTCCTGGAGTAGATGGCCCAGTCTTCATGAGCCACAGACCACACACTTTGATTTCAGAGGCCAACCATAGAGGAAACTGCAGCAGAAGCCAGGGCAGAATGCCTGTAAGTGGTAAACTGCCTATTTCTAAAGAATTATTCAAGAAAGGAATCATCATAAACACTCCTGCATGAGATTTAAGTATCCAGAGCAAATCAACTACTATCTTGACAATTGTTAGGTTCAGCTTAGACTAGAAGAAATTCTGAAAACTTTACATATCTTTTTCCTCTTTTTTCCCCTGCTGTAAAGGCCCAGAAGATATGAGATACTGAAGGTATCTATATCTATCTGGCATTTTAATGTATTAAATATCATGATGCAAAGGGGCACATAGTGTCTTAAACATTTGGTGCCTCAAATGACACATTCCATTTTCCGGAATTAAGGGCCTCAGTGTAGTCATGAGGAATAATTATGAAAGAAACCATAATGTGGAAATTAAGGAGTTGGACCAGGAGTGGGGAGATCCAAATTGAAATCCATTCTGTTCATCCATGGAAGTTCTTTTCTTTATTTAATTGAATTACTGACTGTCTTGGTTACTAAACAAAGTCTAGGCTGCGTACAAGGATACCAATATATTAAAAAGAAATCTAACAATAAAAAAGATAATCACATCAGGAAACCAATAATGTACAAACATACGTCACAAGTGCACTCCCAGAGTCTGCTGAAAGACCCAGGACCACCTCAAGGCTTTCCTATAATGCAAAATGCAGATTTAAACAGTTATTCTAAAAGATAAGAACAACTCCAGGATGCCATGAGATGATACTGCTTTGCCAAGGGGACCTGGAGCATGCCAATCCTGCCAGATCTTATTGGATAGGCAAAAACAGGAAAAGTGGTACCTTCCAGGTCTCAAGCTATAAAGGGCTTTATAGTGACAACTAGCAACTTGAATTCTATGTGGAAGCTAACTAGTAAAGTGTATCTGGAGGGCAGTTTGGGCCATTTATTCATTCCAAGCTCAATGCTGTGTATGATGGAGAAAAATAGGTATTGTACTATGCTTAGATATCGGTGCATAGCAAATAAAAACAGTATTATTGAATACGTGTGTATAGCCCACTTCTTTTTTGGGACAAAGTTTGAAAAAATAAGCGTAAAAAAGAAGGCAGTACTACATTCAGTATTTTGTCTTAGCGTACATTGGATGCCCAGCATTTATCCTCTACTGGTTAGACTAAAGGTAATCCACAAATATTCCACTAGAAATTAAATGATACTAGACAACATACACATTTATATAATTACTGTCATTTCTGAGAAGTTCAAACTGTTTTACTTTTAACTTCCTGCCTGCACGTGGATTGTGTTTAGCACAAATCCAGTGGAAATGCTTCTCATCTACTTAACCCAAAGCATTTCTCAAAGAGGACTCTGCCAGGTCTGTGTTCCCAAGGAGTTGGCTTAGTTCAGCTGATGAACAAGTTTATTTCTGGCTTTGTAATAATTATAAAAAAGGAAGGAAAGAAAAGCAGCATATTCGGAGGAGGTCAAAACAAACAAAATGCCAGTTGTGTGTCAATGCATGTGTGTCAATACTGTGTGTATTATGAAAAGAGAGGGCTTTAATTGCAGCAATTTGATTGCATCTTGCCTGTTTTGACCTCTTCTATCTGATGCTGCTGGACAGAAAACAGTCTTTATTTTATATGTATATTTGGTAGATAAACTTTTCTAATTGAAAAAAAAACTCTTGCTTTGTTCTTCCAGACTCCTAAGCCTCAAATCCTCCTCCAGGACTTCAGGTTTGCCTTGCTATTGGGGTTAGCAGTAATGATATTAGGAGTGGATCTGTGCAATGATCTCAAGTTGAAAAGAAAAGCATATTTCAGAGCTCAAGAGCATCTTTAAGGAATTGCTATTGAGACGTAATGTGAATGCCCCAAGTGTTCCAACCCATTCCCAATTTTTCCCTGAGGTTTTGGACTTGCATGTCTTGGGTGTGCAAACTCTAATCAAAGAATTGATAAACCAACCACTAGAGTTAGCTTTCTATGTCTAGTGATCATCTGGATTTTTGCAGAGGACATCTGTTAGTCCTAATAAAATTGACCTTGCAATGAATTCTATGCACTTTAAAAATTATGCATTTTGTTTGCAACTCCCCTCTTCAGTCGTCTTTAGAACCTATAACCATTAGGAATTAAGCACTAGGAACATTACTTATTTTCAAAATTGTTAGAATATATGGTGATATCCTTAAAATGGTACTTTTAAACAGAAGGGATAATGATTGACTGTAGTAGCCAAGCAGCTTTATGTTATTACATATACTCAGATTTACTTGTTTCCATTTCGGAAGCAGGCAAACCCAGCCTTTAATGAAAATATGGATTGGCATAAATAATTTATTTCCCTTTATGGAGCAGAGATAAAGACATTGGTGGCACTGATTAAATGGTTCTTGCAAAAAGTGCTTGGTTTTATTTTTGAATTTGAATTGTTTTGAATTTGAAAACATTGATTTTTGAATTCCTTTGTTATCCAACTGTTCTTTGTATTCCAAGGTTGAAATAACCCAATAAACCAATTTCAGACTGCTTTGTAGGGTTTGGGGAGTGGGCCTGGCATGTTGTTGAAATGTTCTTTGGAAAACAATTATTCCTATTCACCATTACAGAAAAAGTCCTGAATCTAATATTTATGAATGATTTCTGTGCATGCAGTATACGAACAACAAAACTTGACCCTTTCTTTGCTCCCCTTCTTGAATCTTCAGAGTCACGAGTCTTTTACCAAATGCTCATTACAATCTGCCATAAATATTATATTTGAGAGCCAGTTTAGAAGAACATTATTTTCCCCTCTTAAGACAATTATTTTTTTCATTCTACTACATTAAGTACAGCTGTTCTTTTAACATAAGGTTTGAAATTGATTTTTTGTTTTGCATAACCATTGGATCTAGTTTTACTTGTGCTACTTTGTCCCTCTAAAAGCTTTTAAGGAATATTAAAATGTTAGAAAAGGTCTGGCATTCACTATAAATGCATACTGTAAATTCAAATTGACTTGTGTTCCGGCTAAGGAAAATATTGGTGCTGGTAATACTGTATTGAATATACATCACAGCTTGTACTTTGAAGGATGGAAGCATATGCGCTTACCTCACCATATTCTTGCTCAAGCACTTGAAACCAACCAATAAATGGCACACATCTTCAAGACCATAAGCATTGCCCTCCACAAATGTATCCAGTCCCTTTTTAGTGCCATGTAAGTTAATGTCTATCACTGTGTCTCATGGTGAAGAATTTCACGAGTTAATTATGCACTATGCGATGAAATGAATCTTGGGGGTTCTTACACTCCACCAAAGTCTTTAGATGATATGTCTCCTTATGCAGCTCTTTCATCTTTAGCCCACTATAGAGGAAGCTGACAGCCTCTAGCTGTTGGCTTTAAAGCTGTGTTTTCCTCTTCTGCTAATGCAACCTTGCTATACAAACATTCAGGTACATCTTATCAGAGAAGTTAGTGATGAAATGATCAGGGGCTGGAATCTATTCAGATTTGATAGTTCATCTTGAGCTGTTGTAGATGTGCCCTTTCCCTCTGATTGCATGGCATTGTCTTCCAAGTCCCATTTGGCCTTGGTTTCATAGATCAGGCACCAGGTTTTCACAGAAGCATCTGTCTAGGTAATGTCTGACTATTACTTGGTGGAGCACCAATAAGAAATTACATGAACTCCTCACATGTACAAATCAAGCATTCTTCAGGAATAATTTAGACCTGATTTAAACATGTGTTAATGGTCTTTCAAAATAGTGGTAGACTTTTTCTTTAAAATAACAAGAGTTACTATCCACTATCTCCAAAAAATAGAATTAGCTCTTTTTTCACAAAAGGTTGATCTAAAATGGGAAAGTAAGACAATTTATGTTTTCATTAGCTTGGTAAAACTTGTCTTCTAAATAAATCTGTGTTCCAAAATAGTTCGGCTGACTGACTAGCTGGATAGTGCTGGGGCAGAGGATGAATCAGGATGAGACCTCTCAATGAACCAAATGAACTTCTTCCTACCCTCCTTCAGATTTATTGATCTGTCAGGTGGGGTATTTTTGAACCAAGATGTACTGACTGGTGTTTTTTTTAAAGGGTCTGGTTAATATGTCAGGTGGAGGACAGGAATGAAACAGGAAGGTATTTCTCAATGTGCTATGTGAGTTCTTTCTCTCTCTTCACCCATCTTTGCACTGAGCTATTTGCTGGACTATTTTTGGAAATGGGCATTTTGAACAATTACTTACTACTTGCCAGCTTTCTGGCACTGAACCTCATTTAATTGACAAATTGCATGCTTTGTCAGCAATTTCACTTTTGTTTTTTAATAACTTTCAGGTGAATGCCATCAAGATCCTCTACTTTATGTCCTAATTTGTTTTTTTGTTTCCTCAGTATCTTCTAGTATTGAGAAAGTCAATGCAGGGTTAGTTGTGTATATTATAGTATCTCTTGTAATAAAGACAGCTACTAAAACAATTGATAACTTTCTCTGCCTTCTCAATATTTTGATCATCTTTTTTATTCCTTTGTTGTCTAATGTCCAACCATTTCTCCCACTACCTTGTTCTCCTTTTAATTTTTTCACCATACTTTTCCTCCTCTTCTTCCTTCTCTTTCTCTCTTTTATTTTATCTTTTATTATTATTATTATTATTATTACTGATTTTTCCTACATTGTTGAATTATTACTTAAATGACCTCCAGGCACTACAATTGCCCTCTTTATTTTTCTTTTCCAATTCTTTTTTTTTTTTTACAAGCCTCGCTTTTAGGTAGAATTTCTCTTTTTGTAGTCAAAAAGGCACTACAATTGCCCTCTTTATTTTTCTTTTCCAATTCTTTTTTTTTTTTACAAGCCTCGCTTTTAGGTAGAATTTCTCTTTTTGTAGTCAAATGTGGCTATATAG